TCTAAATAGGCATATTTTAGATTGTCCAAAAGTGGTTTAAGCTCTAAGGAAGGAGGTTGTTCAATGGAAGGCATGGTCGGGGCAACCGAGATATCAAGAGTTTCAGCTGCATAAACGCCATCATAAAAAGCATCACCCTGCAATGCAACATTAATCTCAGCACAAACAGAGCAAACATTAGTGTCAGTACATGAATCACAAGAGTAAGTATCATTATAATCTAATAAAGATGGAAAATCAGATAACAACTCAGGATAGATATCATCAACTAAATCAGACAATAACTCTTTTGGATTCACTACTGTTTGGGCGGGTAGTTGGTTTGGTTCTTGAGCTTGCTGCATGACATTCACTATAGTGGCAAGCTGTCCAATCTGTGTCTGCAAAGCCTGAAGACTAGAATCTGTTCGTTGCTGAAACTGAAGATCATTTATAGCCATTTTCTTGACAAGGTCCTCTAGTGAAGTTTCGGAAGGTTTAAAGCACACGATTTTGAATTTCTTCATATGCTTATTCGGATCCTCACATGCAAATCCATTAAACCTTGGCAACAAGTGTACTAAACTAGATTTCAATTCAAAAGGAACATCAACATCAATATATTCAATACTTAAACTATTATAATGAAAATCAGGAGCAGTAAGCTCTCTTAATATTCTTTGTTCAGTCATGTTATGAAAAGGAAAAAAAATTAACAAAGAATTAGAAATCACAAAACTTATTTAGCACTGCAGCAACAATTTGAAACATACCAACAATGTCTCTAATAAGAAAAAGAAAGGAAAAATACAAAAGTGAATAAAATAAAATCTAAAAACTATCAAAATATTACTAAAAATCAAATAAAATTAGAATAAATCTTTACAAATTTTTTTGGATATTTTTTAAAATATGAAAATAGAAAATAAATCAAATAAAATAGGAAACTAAGGAATTTGAGATTTTCAGGGTCAAAATATTTTAGAATTCTATTCTAAAGGAGTATTGTTCGTCGATTGTTTTCGGATTTTCTGGAAAAAATTCAGAGCAAATCGAAATAGTAGCTTCTAACATACTTGATAGGCTGAAACGCTTACCCCTATTCTGCAACCCTGAAAATTAACACACAAAAACAAAAAACAAAAAACAAAAAAACAAAAAAAAACAAAAATCTAAAATTAAAATTTTAAAATTGACTTAAATTAACAAGAAACCCCGACAACGGCGCCAATTAGATCCGCTATCGCGCACGGATCAAAAACGAGTATTTTTGAAAACAGTAGTAACGGTAAAGACAACTTGAGTATCGTTCTCACAAAAATTCTTTTATTATTTCAACTAACTAAAGAAAAGGTTTATGGGGGGTTTTAAGTTTTGATTTATAAAACAAGAGAAAAAGTGATTAAAATAAGTGATTATCAATTAAGGTAAAACAACTAATCCTACTGATTCGGATTCCGACTTATCATCGACTATTATAACACCAATCCATATGCGGCTTCAATCCTATTCGATTATGACATTAATCAGACAAGCGCTTATCAAAATCATATAAATTATGTTCCTGTTACTGAATTAAGCAAACGGTTAAGAATATGACGAGTTAATGAATTAAGCAAACGATAACACACAATTAAATTTAGGAACAAGTATACAATCGAATTTAATCAATTATATCCTATGAACACAATTGAATTAAGAAAACGATTGCAATCAAATTAAGTAAACGATTTCATAGAAAAGAATTGAACATAAATCGAATTAAATTGCTATTATAATAACCTCAAAGTGATGGAACCCGTAAGCAGCATGATTTGCCTTGGGAATTAGTTTTCCATCAAAATCTTACAAAACACAATGAAATTCGTAAAAAGAAGGTTAAATGACACTAGTACGACTGCTAGGTATAGGAAAGTATCAACACTTCTGGTTTTAACCTAACTGGGTCGAAAAACATAAAAAAAACCGACCCAAAACTATATATTTCAAACGGCAGATTTTAGGTTCTGACTTCAACGAATTATTTGGACCTGCTACACTATGAATCATCCTCTTCCTCAAACATAAAAGTTGTAGCTCTCTGTCTTAGCTTTCTAACGCCTATTAGAACGTGCAAATTCGATCTTGCAGTTCCAGTTATGTTTCGAACAGTGGATATATATCAAATAACCGCTAAAGTTGAAAATAAGCTGTGAAAATAAAATAAAGGTAAAAACAAACTTAAATACGAAAACACATCAAAATAGTAAAAATACTTAAATAAACTGTAGGAATGCCTAAGTATAATAATAGAAGAATGTGTATGAAGATGTACTGATCATTCTTCCAGACAGTATAAAATTATTACCTTTAAACATTTTCATTTTATCAAAGAAAAAAAGCTTTAAGTGGTCAAGTTTATTTCAATGTGATCATTTATAAACTGGTCATTTCTTTCTCTTCCTGCTTAATCCTTTACTAGTGTTTTATCTGATTTAACTCTCATTCCTATTTTATTTAAGGAACAATTTTGACTTGATAAGATCAAATCAATGTTTTCTTTCCCCTTAGTAAATTTAATTAAGGCTTCATGCATAAGCATCACTTCCTTTTTCAATGAGACAAAAGTATCATAAGCTTCTAATATTGGTCATTTCTAATTTAAGCGTTTTATTGCTTTCTTCAAGAAACACTAGATACTGCTTAAGGTTTAAGTTGTGTTTTTTAATCTTATCATTTTCCTCAACCAACTTAGCACTAATTTTAAACAATTGTGTGTAAGATGGATTAGTTACCTCAAAATCATCTTTCTCGTAGGATGCTTTCAAGAAAACTTCATATTCTTCTTTTGAAGAGGATTCTTCTATGGTTCTCCCTAAGGTTAATTCTTATTCATTTGTACAGGCTTCGTTGTTTTTCTCTTTTGAAAATTTCATTTGACGATGCTTTATATCTTTTCACAGATGAAGTTCCTTCATTTGATATTGAATCTTCCAAGGATTGTTCAACTACTAAGTATGTTCTTTCAAATGTGAACATGAGAGTTATTTGATAGGAGTTTGATGCGATTGTTGAATATTATTCAATCTTTGAGATAATGCCTTCATCTTTAAGTAATTGAACTAGTTCATTCAACTTTTTTATGTGTTCATCCTTCTTTGATTATTTATGAAATTCATGAACACTCCCCTATTTGGATTTAAGGATTGGGTTGAGTTTTCTATTCTTAATTCTTAGATATTGGTTACTAATAAACATTCCAATATAATTTCTAATATTCTTAAAGTTGGAAAAACATTTATAAAATAAACCTTCATATTTTTCGCCTTATGTATTCATTTCAATCATTCGATACTTGGAGAAACTCCATATATCGTTTCAAGAATATCCCATATTTTCTTGGCTGTTTTTCAATTATAAACATAAATAAAGTTTAATATTATATAAGGACATTAATAGAAAGTTATTGGTTTTGAAATGAAATTAAAAAATTTTCCTTTCTTCTATAGTCCAAAGGAAAGCAGGTTTATCTGCTACTTTTTCATCTAATTGGTGAGCAGGGATAAATGGACCACTGATTAGGGTTTCCCACAATGTAAAATTAATAATTCGAATAAAAACTTTGAATCTAGGTTTCCATAATTCAAAGCTAACACGCCATTAAAAGGTGGATGTGTGTTTACGAAAGATTTCTTGTTAGAAAAGGTGGACTCACGGGTTCAGAAGGGGGAATTGGTTCCTAAGATAACCAAATTTTAAGTTGGTACCACATGCATAGTATCACGTGTGTTGTGAGATTATGGCGATGTTAGTTGTGTATTAAATGTATGATATGTCATGTTTTTCTCTACCTTTGCATTCTTTACATCATTTATATTGAAGTTTATTTCTCATCCTTTACTTTATGTTATTCATCATGGACTTCTTACAAATAATCAGGAGTATAGTTTAATGCTTTATTTGCGAAAACTAATTTTAAAGTTGTTATATGATTTTCCGCTGCATGTTGTTAAATGTTTTTGAAAGATTTTTGATGGTTGTCGCAGTGACATCTTAAATTGTCAATTAAATCTTATATAAACTTTGGAATTTACCATGTTACAGCGACAACTAAAACCCAAAGCTTTAACAATGTATTGGCAGACGAAGCTTGTGCCCTTTAATTCGCCATGAAAATTTTTCAAGACCTTTGTTTTGTCAAAGTTGAAATGGAATTAAATTGTCAAAGTTTGATTCACTTGTTTGAAGGAAAGAGGAAAACGATAGGATACAAAGATGACTACATCCAAAACATCAAGAAACTTAGAATTTTCTTTGCTGAAATGTTTTATGAAAATTTTTGGGTCAGGAAATAACATGGCCAATCACTTGTTGGTCCAATTTGTTGTAAACAGCTAAGATCAAATATGAATCAAGAAATTCCCAAATCTATAGAATACATTGTATTGTGTGAGATGAAGTAATTCAATATAAACTTTTTTAATGCAAAAACTCTATCCTTAATGATAATCTTATTTGTATGCAACAAACTCAATAGTGCTAAATATAAAATGATGTATGAAAAAAACTTTTTAAATGGAATAAGTTTTCATGAAGATAAATTCAGAGAATACAACTATACTTTTTTTTAAAGGGATAAATTTCTATGTGCAGAAAATGTATACAGTTTTTTACTGTTAATTCATCACCGTCATCTATTTATATTACTTTATATTTTTAGTATAAATTTCTTACATCTAACGTCTATAATTAACTGACAGTATAATTTTTTTTTTTTATATTTTCAGTGTATTTCAATTAAATTATTTTTAAAATTATTTTTAGTACATTATGAAAATAACTATCTTTCTTAATAGAAATGAAAATAATTATTTTTGATTATATATTAGACATATTCATGGGAGCACAATATAATGCCATCCAACATAAATACATTATCCTTCAAACCTTTTCTTATCATCACAAAACCACTAACTAACCCTCTCCTCTAACTTTCTCTTACATAACCAAAAAGTTCCAAACCATTTCAATTCTAAATACCAATGTCTGCAGAACAAGTTTTGAAGTTGTTGGATACCAACTGGTTTGAGACATCAATTCTCACCAACAACATCAAAAAAACATCTTCACCTTTACATTCAACAACATTACTAGATTCAACCTCAAAGTCCCATGTTGAAGAACTTCTTTTTCTAGACACAAAACTCCTTAAAATTCCAACACTTCAAGTAAGGTCTTTTAGTGACAAAAACCTAGGTTCGAAAATCGGTTCGTTCTCTGATTCTCTTTCACCAAACTCCGTCCTCTTACCACAGAAACTGAAACCAATTCTCTCAGGTAAAGAAGTGAAAGAATTCACACTGGAAAAAGAATCAACCGATGCAAAAAAGGCGAGTCGTTGTCGTGGTACTCCTAGAACCCTACTCAGAAAAGGTAAAAATACTAGTCGGAGTTTTTCAGAGCTTGAGTTTAAGGAGCTAAAAGGGTTTATGGATTTAGGATTTATATTTTCCGAGGAAGATAATGATTCAAGATTGGTTTCGTTGATACCTGGATTGAGCAAAAAACAACACAATGTTGATGATGAAAGTGTGATTTGTAGACCTTATTTGTCTGAGGCTTGGGATCTTATAAAGAAAAGGAAAGATGTGAATCCTTTGCTTAATTGGAGAGTACCAACTCTTGGTAATGAGATTGATATGAAGGATAATCTCAAGTTTTGGGCTCACACAGTTGCATCTACTGTAAGATAACAAGAATCAACAAGTTTTTCTATCTTTTTTTTTTTCTGGTGATAATGTTTCAAGTGCAATCTTCTTGATTTTCTTTGGAGAACTCTTTGTTGTATATATTTGAATAATGTACTGTACTTCCCAAATATTTTTGAGTCCAATTTCTTTTACTTTTTAGATTTAGTTTTTTTCTTTTAAAATGCAGCATTTGAGCCAAATGGAAAAAAAAAATGCAACTAATGCAACCGAAATTGTAATTACAAACAAAATTTTAAATATCGGTCGTATTATGGTCACGTAAAGACTTTTTATGATAATAGTGGTTGTTTAGATGAGTATTAATTAATTATAGTATTCTTTTATCGTAAAAATGATGAATAATAGTATCAGTATTGTCAGATAACGTTTGGTCCGACGTGTTTTTTTAAAATCTTGATTACAAGCATTTCTAAAAAGAATTTTGTTTTGTTTAATCCAAGTGACTTAAGATAGTGTTTCTTTAATGATTTGTTTTATTTCTTGATGGTTGAACAGTTCAATAGGTTGAACATAAAGGGTATCAATGATATGGTTGGCATAGTGCTTTCATATACCTACCCAAAAATGGATATATATATATATATATATATATATATATATATATATATATATATATATATATATATATATATATATATATATATATATATATATATATATATATATATATATATATATATATATATATATATATATATATATATATATATATATATATATATATATATATATATATATATATTTGGTTAATAACAAGAATAGTTGGAGCTAAGTGACAGTGACATGAAGATAGGCACAAAGTTACTAGTAATTATATTTTCATTTGAGTGGGGCTTCCATATATATATATAAGTTATAACAAAGTTTTCTATGAGCAAAAGATAAGATATTTTGGTATTGCACTTTAATCAAAAGTAGAAGATGAAAGTTGTGTTAACATCACTTTCCATCCCCTCATATGCAATTCCAAGTGGAAAATGTGCTATGATTGCATTGGGCCATATTGAAAAAAACAAAATGCTTATAGATGATAATTTCAAACATTTTAATCATCATGTTCTTGAATATTTAAAACAGTTTCACTTTTTATTTTTAATATTTCTAAAATTACATACTATATAAAAATAATTATTGTAACTTCTAAATCCTAACATATAAACCTTAAACCCTAATTTTCTTATAGTTTTGAACTAAGAAAGGCTATGACGGATAATAAAATTGTCTTTAAAAATATTTTAAAGACTCCTTTTCAAATAATTTTTTTATATACGAATCCCATCTGATTCGTATATTATTTTTTTATTATAAACTTTTAATATGTTGTATTAATAAAATAGATAGTAGAACTCTTTTTGTCATTCAAAATAATATAAATAATCAAATAATCTTCAAAATAAACAGAAAGTGTTTCATGCATAAATATTACATATTACATTAGGTAATAATAAATAATATGTAGTACTTTTGGTACACAACTATAATGGTTGAATAATGTGGTATGAATGCTTGACCAAATACTCCAAGCAATAGAGTATCTATAATTAAAATTAGACAATGAATTAATGAGCCATGTTGGTTTTAAATTATTCTTTATTCCATGTTTCTTTTATTCATACATAAAAAACTAAATATGGACGTCATTGATGGTGACCTAATTAATATATTTTCTGGCTTGTAATGAAAGTTTGGCCTGCATTATTGAATTAAATAAATAAATAAAATAAAAAAGAAAGCCCAGTTGAGTTTTATTTGTAGATCACGCAAAGGAAGTCTATGCAAATTCTGCTTCCATGATTCACGATGAAGCTATCATATAAAAAAAATTAATAATGTTCTTAAATAAATAAGTTAGAATATGTATTTTCTTATGATTTAGCTTACGTCGTGGAGATTTATTAGTATGATGAGCTGTACTCATCCATTCAAAATAGTATATCTGTATTAGCATGAAGTGTTTCATATTCCATGTGCTTTGTATCAAACTTTAAGTTTTAATGTTTATTATACTACTTTATTCACACTTTAGTTTTATTCTCTTTTAATAGGTCTCTTAGAAATTAGTGGAGTTAGTTAAAGTATTTTTCTTGAATAGTTAGTTTTTCATTGGACTATATAAACACATGGTTAAATATTGTATCTTTAAACATTTTTTTTTATTAATTCTAAATGTTTCAATTTTTCAGATTTTTCACCTTTTATTTATTTATTTTTTTAAATGTTAACATGATATCATTTTTTTGAGATTGCTATGATCTTCTTCTATCAACTTCATCTCTACATGTTTTTTTTTCAATATTTTTCAAAATTTCTCGTCTTTATCCTCATCTCTCGACTATTTCACAATTTAGTCTCTCTCTCTCTCTCTCTCTCTCTCTCTCTCTCTCTCTCTCTCTCTCTCTCTCTCTCTCTCTCTCCATCTTCTCTGATGATGAGCACTACCGAAGAACTCACAATCACTGATCCACTGCTGCCACCACCTCCGCCTCATTGTAATTCATCCACCAATGAAACCCTTAACAACACTGTCCAAAACCAAAACCTTAACGTACCTATTAAAATTATATGTTGGTCCTCTTCTACATGCATTCGAGCGATAACCCTTACATCTCCAATGACTCTCACTCTCTTAACAACTAGAACTATCATACATGTTTTCGTTCCATCAAAGATTCTCTCTATTTCAAAATAAAATTAGGGTCTCTTAAATGGAACTGTAACTCATTCTAAAAAACGAAATCACACCTCTTTTGCTTGGGATCGGTGTAACACTATGGTAATGGCTTGACTCACAAATTCCATCGAGCTAGAAATTGATGAATGTGTCCTTTGGATGGACACTGAGTATGAGATGTGGCAATAACTACAAGATAGGTACCATCAAGACGAAATCATTTAGGTTTTAGATCTTCAAGAGGATACTTACTTGCTCAAGCAAGCCACCAACCATTACCCAATATTTTACCACTCTAAAGAAAATTTTGCATGAGCTTCACAATTTTTGACATATTCCTACATGCACCTACACCATCAAGTGTTTGTGTCTTCTTCTTACCACCATCAAACAATACAAAAAGTATGATTGTTTCATTCATTTTCTTAAGGTCCTAAATGAATAGTACATCACAATTCAATCCAACATCATGCTTATGCAACCCCTTTCACCTAAGTTTTTCCACGATTCCCTAAAATTTAGGAATTCGTCGAACCGTCTTTCAGCGGTTATAGTGGGAGGCAGGTCAGTGGATGATCCTAAGGAAATTAAATTCGAAGCGGTGAAGTTTTTTATGGGTAAATATATGCAGCAGAATTCGTTTAAAGTCAGAAGTGACTTTGACTTGGCTACAAGACTTGATGAGGAGGACAAATGTCTTCTTGAAGCTGAATTCAACCCAGCTGATGTGAGAAAGGCAGTTTTTAGCTGCGATGGTAACAAGTGCCCAGGTGTTAATGGATTTAATTTTAAATTCATAAAATCTTGCTGGGACATTGTTGGACAGGATTTCACCTATTGCATCCTAGAATTCTTCAAGACAGAAGTTCTGCCCAAGGTGTCCATATCATCGTTCATATCGCTAGTGCCGAAAATTAATAATCCTCAAAAGTTTGAAGATTTCAGACCTATTACTTTGGTTAATTGTGTCAATAAGATTATTTCCAAGATGCTAGCTTTTCGTTTAAACAAGGTCATTCACAAACTTATCTCCCCGTCCCAAACAACTTTCATCCCGGGGCGTCAAATTTATGACGGGGTTCTCTTGGCCAACAAATTAGCAGACTATGCTAAGAGATTTAAGAAGGAGTGTCTGTTTTTCAAAGTCGACTTCGCTAAAGCCTATGATTGTGTGGACTGGTCTTACCTTGAAGATATGCTTGTCAAGATGGGTTTCGGTTCAATTTGGATGAAGTGGATTCGAGGTTCTGTCTTTAATAGTTTTGTTTCGATCCTTATTAACGGAAGACCTTCGAAGAATTTTAAGGTTGGAAGAGGTCTGAAGCAAGGCGACCCGTTGGCACCGTATCTGTTTGCCATAGTTGCAGAAGGTCTTTCTTGTTTAGTTAGAGCTGCGACTGCCGGTAACTTATTAAATGAATTCAAGATCAATGGTCAAGCCACTGCGAACCTGCTCCAATTCGCCGATGACACTCTGCTTATAAGAGATGGATCGTTTTCTAATATTTGGATTTTCAAGGCGATTCTGGGTGCGTTTGAATTGAGCTCTGGTATAAAGATTAATTTTTCTAAAAGCTGCCTTTACGGAATAGGTGTTGAAACTGCGTTCCTTGATGCAGCAGAAGAATTTCTGCATTGTAAATCTGGTAGGCTGCCCCTCAGTTTCTTTGGTCTTGTGGTAGGAGGTAATCATCGTCGGAAATCCTTCTGGAATCCGGTTTTGTCTCGGTTGAGGAATAAACTCTCTAATTGGGCTGGGAGAAATTTGTCGATGGGAGGTAGAGTTTCCCTCATTAACTCGGTTTTAGTCAACATGCCTATTCATTCCTTGGCTTTTTTCAAGGCTCCCAAGAAAATTGTGAAAGATATTATTGCTATCCAACGGCGTTTTCTATGGGCTGGGAATTCCAATAATAAATTAATCTCTTGGGTATCTTGGAATGATATCTGCAAATCTAAGGAGAACGGAGGACTTGGTATTAAACATGTTGGTCTTTTTAATAGAGCCCTTATAGCAAAATGGTTGTGGAGATTTCAAACCGGCGGTAATGACATCTGGAGATCGACGTTAAATCTCAAATATGGTAATTTGAGTTTGAAGGTGCAGACTTATGCCGATGTCGGTGGTTAGAAATTTGACTCAAATTGGATGAAGGATACTCTCTCTAGTTATAGCAACGGTTCCCTCGTGGAATTCTGTCAGTTCATGGATTGCAAGACTGGTGACGGTAGTGATACAACTTTCTGGCAGTCCATCTGGATTGGAAAGGTACCACTTAAAAGTAGATTTCTGCGTCTATTTCAGGGTTGT